TGGGAACCATACCTGAGAAATTATTAAAATATCATGAAAGGGCTAGGGACCTGGCTCAAATCATTGTGTCTGATTAGGAAGAACAAAAGTCTGTGCTTAATAGGCATTGTTGTTAAATAAATGAATAAAAGAAATACTATGTTGTGAATGGCCAGAACATAGACAGGAAGCCATGTCAAGGAAAATAAGTTTAACTAGTTCTTCAACCCAATTGCATGAAGTGTTTCTGGAAAGAGTGAGCAGGGTCACTAAGGGTTTTTTTGTTTTTGTTTTGTGGGTTCTTTTGTTTGTTATTTATTTTTTGCAATGCTAAGGCTTCACCCTCACATTGAGCCAACAAACCAGCAAATTTTTTGTTTATGATGGGATATTTCAAGATAGCCTCGCTCATTAACTTTGCCTGGGGTTAGTCTCAAGCCACAACCCTCCTGATCAATCTCCTGTGTAGCCAGGATAACAGGCATGAGAAAATGGCCCTTGGTTATGAAAATGGTTTTGACGGTAATGGTTTGATTGGGCAAGAAGGAAATTTTAGTGATAATGGTGGTTTTGCTGTAACCTATGCTGATGTTTGGTACAGTGGCTTTGGGGATGGCTACAATGAATTTGGTAATTAAGGAAGCAATTTTAGCAGTGGAAAACTTGTCAAATTTTGGAGCCATGCATGGGAGAAAATTGGAGGCAGAAACTCTGGCCCCTAGGGTGCTTGAGTCCAATGTTTTGCAAAATCATGAAACCAAGGTTGCTCTGGTGGAACTTGAAATAGCAGGCTCTATGGCAGGGGCTGAAGATTCTACCTCTTCCTAAGAAACAAATTTTAGCCTGAGATTAGGCCCTGGAAAAGCAATGCAGAAGCTACAGTTTACTATAAAATTGTGAGCTCAGCCTATAAAATGGCAGAAAATCCCACCTGCTAGATGAACCACATATAGCAGTTTCCAATTTCTATTCCACCATTTGGGGATGAATTCAAGAACTGATGCATGCTTGGTAAGCACTTTACCTCTTGGACAATGAAGTCTGTCCAGAAGACATATTTTATGTACATGGGTAAAAATATTGAGGACTATATATGTAACTTACTCTACAAAAGGCTCTTTACTTCCTGCACTGTACAAATTGTAAAGTGAACCAAACAACTGGCTCTATTTGGACTTTTGATATATATACATTCTTTTGATGCTGAACTGCAACTAACCCTTTTCTGTGAGGATCACGAGAAGCTATGATTTCAGACATGTGTCCGCATTACCGCCTTCCTATATCACATTTAAATGCACACATATATTCATATACTTGCCCCTCTCACATTTACATGCATGTATGCATGTGCAAAGGGATTAGAAGTAAACAGGGATTTCTATTGGGGGGGTATGGCACTAGGGTTTAATCTCTGAGCATCACATTTACTAGGCAGGTACTTTACTGCTAGAGCCAGCCGAACAGCAATTCTTTTGTGATGGGTACTTTTAACATGGTGTTTCATGAACAATTTGACTGATGGGGGCTTTGAAATGCAATTTTCCTCATCTCTGCCTCTTAATTATCTAGGAATACAGGTATGAAACCCTGGCACTGGAATTCTTTTGTTGCTGTTGTCTCAAGCCTGAGCTGCAGCACACTATTTTTTTGTGTGTGTGATACTGGGGTTTGAACTTACCAGTGTGATATCTTTCATGTATATTCTGATAATGGAATGAAGACATCTCAACATAGCTTACATATATAAGTTTGTGACTGTGAATTATCTCATTTGTGTAAAGGACAATGGCACTTTTACTATGCTAAAAGCAGTGTGGACTTTCATGGTTTCATGGTAGTGAGATAAGTGAATAGTACCCTACCTGGCTTTCCTATACTTACTCTCTAATGTAAGTTTGTTCATGTTTCTTAAGATCATTGGAAGTAAAAAATTTTTCCCACATTACTTATATCCAAAGGTCTCTCCTGTATGAGTCCTATAAAGGCAGCAGAGACATGTGAATGCTTTTTCACAATTCCCATATCCATAAGGTTTGTCTCCAGTGTGAGTTCTTTCATGAGTAAAAAGGAACTGAGCACTTCCTCTGTGACTCTACCAAGAAACATTAGGAAGCCTCTGTGTGGTAAATTACAGACCATCAAAAACTTAAAACTAATACGACTAATGAAAGACAACTCAGATAAAGGTAGTTTTTATTTATCAGACAGAGCATAATTAACCAAGAAGTGTAGCATATATCCTTAGAAACAGACCGATTTCAATGGATGCCCCAGCATCATGCCCATAATCCTAGTTTGTCAGGAGGCAGAAATCAGTAGATTTGTGGTTTAAAGTCATACAAAGTCCAATCTCAAAAATCACCAGCCTACCAGAGTAGGTCAAGTGGTAGAGTGCCTGCCCAGTAAACACGAGGACCTGAGTTTGAATACCAAATAGGTTGGTTTGAAAAAATCATGCCATCTAATGGTATTGTGTACAAATCTCTAATTCCAACAACACAGTGTACAACTATGGAACAAAATCCACATTGCAAAGTACAGTAGGTAGAATAAATGCCTTAAAGCATCTGAAATCATTGGAATAAGAAAGCAATCCCCAGACCTGGGCAACAATAGTTCACACAATAATCCCAGCTACTAAAGAGGAGGAATCAGAAGTTCATTTTGACATCAGCTTTGGCAAATATTTTGAGGGACCCTATCTGGACAATACTTAACACACATAAAAGGGCTGCTGTAGTGGCTTATATCATACAGTAGCTATATAACAAGCAAGAAGCCCTAAGTTCATGTCTGAGGGCCAGCCCACCCCCAGAAAAAAAAAAAAAGAAAGAAACTGATCCCTGAGTCACATAAGGCCCAAATTTGTAGTCCTTTCAGGAAAACAAAGAGGCCCAAATTGTACTTCCACCAGAAGGATTATGGATAAATGTTTGGAGAAGTTTACATAGAAATAAAGTTGAAAAAAGAAAGAATGAAGAATGAAGGGAAGGGAAGTTACAGATAGAGAAAGAAGAGTTTTAAAATGATCTATAGTCAATATTAATAAACAATCTTGAAACTATATTAAACATGGCATATCAAAAGACACAGATTAACAAATAGATCTCAGTAGAAAGTAAAGAAGTCTTCACTGGGTTTCAATGTAAACAGAAAAGTGATTCTTGACAGAAAAGGCATCATACAATGGTGGTCAAAACCACAATCTCTTTAAAACAAGAGTAAGGACAAGTCCAGGTTCTACTTGAAAACAAGCTTTCTGTTTTCACCTATGTCCTGGACAGTACACAAACTGCATTGAGAAATAAGAAAGATAAAATCTGAACAATTTCACAAGTATCATGTCACATGTTTTTCATCCCAGTGTTTGGGAATGGGTTGGAACAACCTAAGTTCAAAGTCAGCCTAGGATACCTATGCAACTAAAAAGGACCCTGTGGCAAGGACATTGAAAGTAAAAAGACAAACAAAGGCAAAGTTGCTGAAGTGGTAGAAAACCTGGGTAGCAAGAATGAGGCCAAGTCCAGATTCCAGTCCCATATAAGAGACAAACTTAAGCAACCCCTCCTAGCACTTAGGAAGTCTATTGATGCAGGATCCCATGAGGTTGTTTTTATAGGCTGGCAACTAGAATAAGAAACATAAAGGTTGTTTTAAGAGAAATATTTAGAAATAGATAACCAGTTTCCAGCATCTCAGTTCTGTAATCCTAGTACTTGAGAGGGTGAGCCAGGAGGATCTTGGTTGGAAGTCAGATGGGCAAATAGTTCAAAGGCTCTTGCTCCAAAATAACTAGGAGAAAACAGACTGGATTGGATGTGTGGCATTGAGGTGGAGTCCCTTCCCTGAAAGGACAAAACCATGAGGCGAATTTTCTCTTCATGTCATGTTTCGTCATATCACTGGAGGAAAGCAGGTGACATGGCATGCTTTTGTTAACAAAAGTTAGATAACCTGGGCAGTCTCATGAATGAAAGAATGGAGTTCCCTCATGTTGCTAAAAGGAAGCAGGATAATTCAAAGCTTTCCCTCATTACTTCAATGCACAAAGTTATGTTCCAGTACAACACCTTGAGTATATTTTTGAATAATGAGAATGAAAGAAGACATTCCCACATATTTTACATCTATAAGGTTTGTAACAGATTGTAGTATTTCAATTCTTTGATGGTGGATGGAATGAATATAGACAGCTTCATTGTGCTTACACCTATAGATTTACTCTCCAGTGTGAGGACTCTCCAGTTTGAGGTCATGGAAATGAGCGAAGACTTTTCACATTGCTTTCCTAATGCAATTATTTTCTATTGTTAACTTTGTATATTTTGGAGCAGCACTGCAATGTGTGAAGACGTATCTATATTATGCATATGTACAGCACTGTAATCTAATGTGGATTGTGTCATTTCAAAGATTATTGGGAAAAGAATGCATTCCAAAATTATCCACTTTGATAAGGTTTCTGACTTCATTCATATCTTTCAAGAAGATTGGGATATATGAATGCTTTAACACATTTGCCATACCTGAGAGTTTTTACATCAGGAGGTATTTCAGGTGCATGAAGGGTACTAGAAGTAAGGAAGGCTTTCCATATTTTTAACTTTTGGGTTTGTCCTCTGTGAGTTTTTTCATGAGTATGAAGGATAGTGGATAGAGTGTACATTGTCTATCATTCCTTACATTCATAGAGCTTCTCTGTAGAGTGAGTTCCCATTTGTTAATGTCCCTGGAAATTGGTCACATCCATAGATTTTCTCTCTAATGTAAGTTCCTTTTCTCTCTAATGTAAGTTTTCTTTACTAATGTAAGTACTGGGGCATAAGAACAGTTTGTACACATTGCTTACATCCATAGGGTTTCTCTCCAATGTGAGTTCTTTCAGGGCTTCAAAGGTGACTGGAATGATTAAAGACTTTCCCACATTGCTTACATCCACAGGGTTTCACTGTGGCATGAGTTCTCTCATGAATATGAAGGGTACTGGAAGAAGTGTAGGCTTTCCCACGTTGCTTACATCAAAAGGGTTTCTCTCCAGGGTGAGTTCTTTCATGTACTTGAAGGTTACTTGAATTAGTAAAGGTTTTCCCACATTGCTTACATGTATATGGTTTCTCTCCAGTGTGAGTTCTTTCATGTATTAGAAGGTGACTGGAAGAAGTAAAGGCTTTCCCACATTGATTACACACATAGGGTTTCTTTCCAGTGTGAATCCTTGTATGTCTTTGAAGGTAACTGGAACAAGTAAAGGCTTTCCCACATTGCTTACATCCATAGGGTTTCTCTCCAGTGTGAGTTCGTTCATGAATACGAAGGGTACTGGAACAAGTGTAGGCTTTCCCACATTGCTGACATGCATAGGGTTTCTCTCCAGTGTGAGTTCTTCTATGTTTCTGAAGGTGACTGGAACGAGTAAAGGCTTTCCCACATTGCTTACATCCATAGGGTTTCTCTCCAGTATGAGTTCTTTTATGAACACGTAGGGTACTGGAACAAGTGTAGGCTTTCCCACATTGCTTACACACATAGGACTTCTCTCCAGTGTGAGTTCTTTCATGTATCTGAAGGTGATTGGAAAGTGTAAAGGCTTTCCCACATTGCTTACATCCATAGGGTTTCTCTGCAGTGTGAGTTCTTCTATGTCTCTGCAGGTGACAGGCTTTAGGGAAGGCTTTCCCACACTGCTTACATACATAGGGTTTCTCTCCAATGTGAGTTCTTTCATGTCTTTGAAGGTTAGCAGAATAAGAAAAGGCTTTCCCACATTGCTTACACACATAGGGTTTCTCTCCAGTGTGAGTTCTTTCATGCATTTGAAGGTTACCAGAATGAGTAAAGGCTTTCCCACATTGCTTACACACATAGAGTTTCTCTCCAGTGTGAATTCTTTCATGTATTTGAAGGTGAATGGATCGAATAAAGGCTTTCCCACATTTCTTACATTCATAGGGTTTCTCTCCAGTGTGAATTCTTTCATGTATTTGAAGGTTACCAGAATGAGTAAAGGTCTTCCCACATTGCTTACATGCATAGGGTTTCTCTACAGTGTGAGTTCTTCTATGTCTCTGAAAGTTACTGGAACCAGAAAAGGCTTTCCCACATTGTATACATGCATAAGGTTTCTCTCCAGTGTGAGTTCTTTTATGAATATAAAGGGTACTGGAACAAGTATAGGCTTTCCCACATTGCTTACATGCATAGGGCTTCTCTCCAGTGTGAGTTCTTTCATGTATTTGAAGGTGACAGGCTTGAGGAAAGGCTTTCCCACATTGTTTACATCTATAGGGTTTGTCACCAGTGTGAGTTCGTTCATGAATACGAAGGGTACTGGAACAAGCGTAGGCTTTCCCACACTGCTTACATCCATAGGGTTTCTCTCCAGTGTGAGTTCTTTTGTGTTTCTGAAGGTGACTGGAACGAATAAAGGCTTTACCACATTGCTTACAAACATAGGATTTCTCTCCATTGTGAGTTCTTTTATGTTTCTGAAGCTGACTGGAACAAGTGAAGGCCTTCCCACATTGTTTACATCCATAGGGCTTCTCTCCAGTGTGAGTTCTTTCATGAATATGAAGTGTACTGGAACAAGAGTAGGCTTTCCCACATTGCTTACATGCATATGGTTTTTCTCCAGTGTGAGTTCTTTTATGTCTCTGAAGGTGACTGGAACGAGTAAAGGCTTTCCCACATTGCTTACATTCATAGGGTTTCCCTCCACTGTGAGTTCTTCTGTGTTTCTGAAGGTGACAGGCTTGAGTAAAGGCTTTCCCACACTGATTCCATCCTTGAGCCTTCACTACAGTCTGTATCCTTTCATGGATTAGAAGAACCTTGTGATCAGTGCAGGTTTTCCCATAAGCATTATATATATAGCTTTTACATGGTTTTAGTTTAAGCAGAGTTTCCTTGCTTACAATGTTCTCTGGAGTCTGTTGAAAGTATTGAACATGTTTCTGTCCATGCAGTCTCTCCAACACTTCAGGTCTATAAAAAAGAGAAAGATTACCATTGTTATCCTATTAATGATTTATTAAGAGAAGTGATGATGTTCATTCCTGTAAGGATTTATGAACATAAATATACTAAATGTTCTGCAGCAGGGCCTGAGGACAGCTATTACCAAAAAGTGTTTGACAAAACTGAAAGAGTTTTACTACATAGAAATACACTTAAAGTTCTTATTGAGGTGCCTTGGATCAAATGCATATAGGATCATGAAATAGAAGAATGAACATGAGGAGATAGCTTGAAAAATGTGCCAGTCTATGCCAGTGCACATGACAGTACAACTCTGATGGAATTTGACATGATATAGCTAAATAAACATGTGCATACACTGGGGTTGTTTTTATATATTGGGCAACTGGACAGTATCTCTTGTGACATCTTGGGACAAAACATGTTATGAATACTGGCACATATCAAGTTTTGAATTTTCTGATTCTGGAAGCTTAACTTATTTTCCCAATCTTAGAGAACTTTTCACTGATTTCAGCAATTTACAAGTGGAAGTTGGGGTCTCATTTCCTTGGTTTTCAAACTTCTTGTCATGCCACATTTGATGTTCACAGTTTCAGTTATAAGTAGAAATTACCTCATATTTCTACTGGGATTTCTGAAGTCCTCTTCAATATTTGCATTTTCTTCTTTTGTTTATGAGATAGAGACAGAAAAATAATTAATATTTAATCAATATGAAAGAACAATTTGACACCTCAGCTATTTTCATAGTATAAAATGATCATGCAGGTATATGAACCATTACTGTCCCTTTTTAAACACCCCACAAGGCAACAAGAGCCAGAACAGTAGTGCATAGTTTGAATAAGGTAATGATGCCATATTTACCAATGTAGGACAGATTACTGTAGGTTTCTAGCATCACTTCTCTGTAGAGCTTCTTTTGGGATGGATCCAAAAAGCCCCACTCTTCCAGGGTGAAGTTCACAGCAACATCCTCAAAGGTCAGGGGCTCCTAATGTGTCCCACACACATTTGTGAGAATAAATGAGATTGTCACAGAACTGCAAACAGACAATCTTTGCATAATTAATTCATAATGTGATGTTGTCTTCACATATTCAATGCATTTCATTTTTAACACACTCATCTTCCATCTATACCCACAGGCAATTCATACTAATTCTGACATCTTCCTAGACCTATTTGTTAAATTCAAAGCAGAACATGGTCACAAAAATTATGTGTTATACACTGCAATTGTAGCAATCCACTAATAAATTCCTTCAACTTACTTCCCATTATAGTAATATCAGGTGAAAAGGACTGCATGAATAATGTTATAACTGCAAGAGTGAAACTTTCTTTTCTGCTGTTATTGCAGAACTGCTAATGGGATGAACCTTACCAAACTGTATATAAATTGTAAAAAGGAGAGAGTGTCCTGAAGCAATTTATTCCAACAATATCCTATTCTATATATACTATTCATAATTGTTTGCACATATCGGCAATGTTCACCCTAAGGAGTCTGTAGTAAGATAACCCACAATGCACTGTTGGTGAATAGTCGAAGGTTGGTATGACAATATTTAATATCTCTAATTAAACATTCTTTTCCTGAATTAGGTTTGTCCTTATTGACTATATCAAAAGAGGACAGTGCAGTGGAGGTAGGCCATTTTGACAAACTCCTGAGTCTGGAACTTTATCACTGAAAGGTCCCTGCATTGTCCTATGTCTGGGAACTACTAGCAAGGGTCAGTTGCTGATCCAGTGAGTGCTGGCCTGGAGAGCTGTCTAGCTATAGGGGAAATGGCTCAAGTGAGGTCAGGGCAGAGGTCCATGTGGTGGGAAACTGGTCAGATATGCAGATGACAGAGGGTATTTCTTTCCACTTGGATTACTGGTAGCAAAAAATATTAAGGACAAATTGTCAAATGTTGCACAAAATTAAGGCCTACTGGAAAACTTTGAAAAACCTATATTACTTCACTGATAAATCCAACACAGACGTAAATCAAAGTAGAAACACCTTATCAACTGATAAAATGAATACAGTCAGTATCATGTTCAATTAAGCAGCACATACTCTGAAATTGAAATGGTACAGAGAAGGTTAACATGGCCAAGCACAAGGATGACATGCAAATTCCTGAAGCATTACATGTTTTTTAAAAAGACAGTACCCATGAAACTCAAACATAACATACAGAATTATGTCAAGTTAATCCACATACTTTCTTTTATTGAGCTGTTATTATTTCAAGTATGGTGCTGCCAATGTCCAACTATGTACTATAGCACTTCATCCTGCCTCAGGTTCCATTGCAGCTGGGTATACAAGTAGGAATCAGAATGATAAACAGAAAGCTTCAGTTCAGGAGTAAAAATTGGATACACATAGTATTTGAGAATGATTTAAAAAACACATTTGTAGTTTGGTTGTGTTCCATGGAACATTCTGCACAAATTTATAATTTGATCCTGTTATGTATACAGCATTCAAGTACATGAAGAACTTTAACTTTTTTACAAAAGATTGTATGTGTTAGTCATTGAAACAGGGTCTCCCTATTTAGTCCTGGCAGCCCTAGACTTGCTGTATTGCTTGATGGACCTCAAACCTGTCATCTATCTGTCTTTACTGAAGATGTTTGTCAAAACGCACCAAGTGTAATGACAGGTTTCAATCTTTCTCACATTAACATTTGTGAGAAAGATGCACCCTTTTGCACATCTCTTATAGTCAAATGTTCTCTTGATAAAATCATCTACCATGTCTGTGAAGGAAACCAAGCCAAGTACAAGTGGCAACACATGCTCATGTCAGTGGCTCCTACCACATCCCACACCATCTACAAGAAGAACTGTGAAAGCCTCAGCAGTTGGGGCAGAGACTGTCTTTGCAAGAACTTACTTCAGTTCAGAGTCATCACACTCTCATTCACCATCTATATACACATATCACATAGTACTTCTGACATCTCATTGGAACTATTTTTTAAATTGAAAGTAGAACATAAACAGCTATTTGGTAGCTGGTCCCAAAAACTTCAATGTTGTACAATGGGATTCTAGCACTTCCCATTACAAATCCCTAGGACTTGTTCCCATAAAAGTACCACCAAGTGTCCTAAGACTGAATAATGTTATAGATGCATGAGAAAAGTTGCATGTCTACTGGTATCTGGGAACTGCTATTGGGATGAATGTGAGCAATTTAACTATAAAAAGGGGAGAGGGTTCTGAAGCAATTACACCAACAACATACTACTGTAAGTAATAAATTTAGCTGGGAGAGTGGCTCAATTGGTATAGTGCTTTCCTTAACAATCACAAGACCCTGTATGATAAGTTAGCAAATAAATAGGTAAAGGATTTCAGAAAGATTGTACTACACTAGTTAAATATACAACACATCATTTTGCTGAAGTTATGCTAACTATCTGAACTTCAAAATAACAGAAGAACACCATTCACACAGAACAAAGGAGCAGCCAAAGAAGAATGATAGGCAGAAAGGAAGAGGTGAGATGGGGCAAGAGAAACAGGAAGGAACAAGTAGGAGAAATACTCAACACTCCAGGCTATCAGTGTAGTGCAAGCAGTAGCATACAAAGAAGTTGTTTAATTCTGAATAGAAAAGTGTAATAAACTAGAACATTCCATGTATTGGCAAATTGCAGGATAAGCAACCATCCATAAAACTTCACATAAATTCATACACTATCAAAATTTCCTAGTAAATTTAAATTATCCATAATCTACAGAGCACCAATCCCTCCACCCCTTTCCTAAAAGAATATTCTGCTAACAGGGAAAAACACTAGAGCAAGTTTACATAATTAAAATGAACAAAATATTTTTGGTCAACCTCACCACTAGGAATATGGTTTATGAGCTTCATTGTTAAACATTTATTGCTGCAGAAATTGTCATATACCCACTTTAAGGTTAGTGAAATACTGAGAATCATCTTCTGACTCCGTCACCTTAGTAAGCTATCTTGACCTCTGTCAATGCACGTTTGAGATGTTTTAATTACTGTTTATTTTCATAAATATTGTGATTGCTCTTCCACAATTTTAGATTTGCTTAGTATATCCTCATGATTTATGCCTAATTGCTACCTATGAAGTCTATTCAATATTTATCTTTTCTTAATGAATTATGCTTCACTTTTGCCCAACTTCAGTGTCTTGCCTGAATTTATCTCACACAACACATAAGTACCAAGAAAGGACACATCTGGTAACATTACCAAACATTCCCTAAAACACCCAAATATTATGACCTCTGCTGTATTTCTTTGCCATCACTTTTGATAACAAATATGTAGAGTTATCAACACTACCAACTTTCAAATATCAATTGAGTGTCCTACAATTCAACTCTGACTCCATGCAGAGTTGAGAACAGTCCCTCCAACTTCTGGGGATCAGTGAGAGACAGAAAACCAACCATAGCACATGTGTGCTATATCTGGTAACACTAGTCACTTCCAAAAGTCATAGAGAGGTATTGCCCTGACAAAACTCATTAGAATATATTCAAACATTGCCTGAATAGGGCTTCATAAAAAAATGAAATGCACTCCTATTGCCTTAGAAATTTCAAGTATTTCAGAATCTCTGTTCTAGAAACTGACACAATGAAGAAAAATTTAATTTATACTACAAACACACTCGGTGTTCAAAATACACCGACTTTTTGCCCCATGAGAAAAAATGAAAGGCGTCTTTCTCTGAGCCTGGACCTCCTACACTTGTCTTCCTTGTTACAAATTACATTGTCTAACCAAATACCTGAATCAAAAGGAAAGTGGTGGAATGATATATTCTGAATGTTGTAACCCTCATAAATAGATGCAATTACCCTACATTTCCAATAAGTTCTCTCCTGGAAAAGAAGCACAGAATCAACATTCTTCCCACTACCACCTTTGTAAACTCAGATATATACCAACACACATTCCAAATGCCCTTTCCTTGTATCAAAAATGATTATGTGCAATAATCAGTGCAAAAATCTTCAAAAGGATTTGTAAAGAATTGTAAGGTGCATTTTGACAAATCTGAGCCTGAGTCATCCAACAAATCACAATTTAGTTTTACCATAAGATCACAAAGAACCAAGGCCACTGTAGTTCACACCTATAATTCTAGTTGTTCAGAAAGACAGTGATTAGGAGGGTCTTGGTTCATACCCATGCTAGAAAATAGTTCTTGAGACTATTATTTAAGGAAATAATAAGCATTGTTAAACCACATATAATAGTTCTAAGTATAAAATAAGGCAAGTTGATGGTCCCCCAAAAAATATCAAGGTAGCATTCTAACCTGGCATTAGTCACAAATTTTACAGGTGAAATAAAATAAACCTGGCTTTTAGTGGAACTTGGATCTTTCAGGGTAATTGAAAGTGTCACTTAGCTCTGAAAATCATGTCCATTCTGAAGGTGCATCCCTTGATCCTTTTCTACAGCAAATACAAAACCACAATTTTCATATCCCAAGATTGACAAGCCTTCAGACTCACTTTCTTATGGCCGCCTCACTTTAACATTCATTCCTATAAAACAATGAGAAACAATCTGAGAACAGAAACAGGTATGTGAGTGGGAGAATGTCTTCATTCCAGTCCAAGAACAACCATGTATGCATGTAGATGTCTGTTTCCAATAGTTCTAGCAATGTGGGAGGGTACCTGGAAATTCAGGGATTTAGTGGCAGCACTAAGAAGAGGGGCCTCAGAGGACAGGATGTGGGTTTAATTCCTGATTACTCTCATCTCATAGGAAACCCAGAACTCACCTTAGAAAAAGGGGAGAGAGGGTGCACTGCACTGCAATTCTCTTTCCCTACACAAACTTAATAAATTAGCCTAGAGTATCCACTGAATACCCTGCATCACCACACA